CACCGGTCGGCCTGCGATGCACATCTCCAGGGAGCTCGAGGACCCCGACCCGCTGCCTCGCTTGGAAGCGCGGTCGATGACTCTTTTTGTTTTGTGGGTGCAGGGTGGCAGCACACACGCGAGGCAGAGACAGGTGCAACATGACCATGAAGGAGCGATTGAAGGGGGGTAACGTTAGTGGCGTTAGGGTTTCACGGAGCACCAAACATGAAGAGCAGAGGTGCTTGCATGCTTGCAGAGCGGTGGAGGGAATCAGGAACTCCTTACGGTGCACAGTAGGTAATTCGCCTTCCTTACTAGTGTACCACAAGAGATACTGGCCCACGATGCGGCACGTGATTGGTCCTAGCAACGAGACCACCCATGTTGTGCCAAAGCCTTGCCGTTGTCGTTGTGCCTACGAAAAGAAATTTTCCTATCTCTGCCCAACACTTGCCGTGCCGGTCCAACTGACGCGCACGCCTTCCGTGGGCGCAACCAACTGCCCAAAACTGTGAAAAATCATTACATGTGCGTCATTACACACAAGGCCTGACACAGTGCGGCATTGGCGGTGGCATGCCTGACAACGGGGGCAGACAGGTTGATCAAATCGCTCCCACTCGGTACGCGAGGTCAAGCATTAACAGCAAACAACGCGGAATCAAGGATCACCAACCAAGACAAGACAATTACCTCGCGGTAATACCAATGACTCTATATTTGTTCCCCTACTTCTTTGGCCAGAGCGCTTCCACCGCAGAGTTTGCATCCGCCATGCCATGCTCCCCCATACATGCCTACAAACGTATGTGGGGCTCTATGATCGCGACACAGGTGGTATCTGCAGTCTCCATCCCAAAGACGAACTGGCGCAAAATATGAAACGTGGCTTCTGGCACTCGCAGAAAGCGCACAACAACAAGAATCAAGAGTGTGTGCACAGGGTCAACGAGGGTCCTGGTTATAACAGTGCGGGTGTGTGACGCGGCAAGAAAAATGCCCACTTGGCCATGATGGCAGGAGCCATCAGGTTGGCGCTAGAGGATGCCATTAAGCACACTCCCGCCGCCGCGAGGTGTCCCCTCTCGTGCTTGGCCTCCGACCACAGCCTCCAGAAAGTCGACTGAGGCTTCGCGTCCGGTTTCTCCATCCTGAGCGCGCTGTCCACCCCACCCCCGCCTCCGATTGCCCCCGATTCTCCTGCTCCCCCGGTGGCACCGCGGCGCCGAATGCCGCTGCTTTCGAAACCCTGGGCGGGGCAGGGGAGGGGGCAAGCGAGAGAAACGAAGTAGGATGGAAGAGAGGAATTGCAGAAGTACCAACAAGCGTGACATACAACAATCGTGAACTACACGCACCCTTCGGTTGATGGTAATACACCCATGTGTGCCGGGCACTTTGAACGATTGTGCCACTATCGCTTTGATCGGTATCTGTCTATGATACCAGGACCACATCATTCCCTAGCATCCCCGAGTTGCTCCACGAGATCGACAAGCACTTTCGTACCTGATACCCGGACATATTGGCGGTAACGAACGCATCACCCATCGACAAACGATCGCAACAAGATGACCGTTTATCTTTGATCTGCCATCATGTTGGTCGTGTCATTTGTGTGCCTTGGCAGCGGTGCGGTACCGCCCAAAATCGCTAGAGAAGGCAACCGAGAGAAATGTGGGGCTTGGAACAAGAACGTATGGAGATTGAGACAAAACAAGATGCAGCAGACGGTACGTGCTTAGGTCTGGAGCGGCCGCGCCAAACACGGCGGTATAATACCAAACCCCAAACCCCAATTCAAGTAGAAGTCGTCCCTCCTCTACTGTTGTCTCCCGCCTTTCCCCGAATTCCCTTCACATCTACCACTTTAATGTGAAAAAACGTTGCTACAGAATACGCCTGGGGAATACATCTAACGCCTGGCCTCCGCTAACCGGCGTGCTGTTCCTGGTGCAGCCTGCCGCGGGAAAATCAATAGCCACTGCCGCTGCTGTTGCTGTAAACCAAAGGGTTTACAGCGTGTTCGGCCTTTCACTCAAGGGACGCCAGGGTTCGTTCAAAGCAATTCTGCCGTCAACACGCAAGGGACCAAAATGATCGAGAAGTCTCGTCTCTTCGGTTTGGCGTCTACAGCAGCCCGTTCGCTGTCTTTGTTCGGCGTGCGGACATGCATACATACCTGAGTTGCGCCCATCGCCGCCCTGTTTCCACCGGCTACGTGCGGCGGGAACGGCATGCTGCCGCGATGAAGCGGCAAGGCGTGGTGGCCGGTGGTGCCACCAAGGCCGCCGGTGACGGTTCGCCGCACCACTCCTCGCAGCTCGAAAGGGGCGGGCAGCCCGTGAGCCGACGCGTTGGAGGCCATTGCCCTCCGGTGTAGGACTGATGCCACCGCGCTTTTGCGTGAGGCGCTGTAGGCTCGATGCTGGGAATGTAGGATTTTTGGTGGGCGGGAAGGGGTGACGCGAACAAATAAAACGCGGTGGTCAGGCGTTTGACCCGATTGCGTTAGGCAGCACGTGTCGACAACACCATGGCGGAACTTGGGCCTTTTCGGCTCCTGAGAAAAGGATCACATGTCACCCGACGGACAAGCGAAAAACCGATTCGCGCTTGCGCAACGGTGGCATGTTCACATCAATACGTATCTTGGTGGACAATCCTTAGGACGAATCTCATCTTTGATCACTCCACATGGTTCCCTGCGTGTCATGAAGTACACAATATTCATACAGCAGTACCGCTGCCATTGGAGTGAAATGGGGTTACTCCATTGTCTCTCGTGACAGAGCCGTGTTGGAATGCCTGATATTGATGGTTCGCGCGGTTTGAACATGTGGTGTTGCATCGGTGCATACGTAACGTATGCTGTTGCAAGAGATTCGTTCCAAGCGCGAGCGGTCAAAAGAGCACAAGACAAGACAAGGTGGTCGCCAAGCAATTGCTTCAGTGGCACCAAACCTGCACAGCAGCAAAAAAAGGAAAGCGGCACTGCCTACCCAAGGTTTGCACTCGAGCGTCCGTCCATTTTCTTCGTCGACCCACGCACAGCAGGTCAGCTATAGCAGTACCGTAGTCGACGGCTGACAGTACATATTAGACTACATATCGGGCGAGTGCAGGGGGGGTGTACTCTGCGGTATGCCGAGGTGCCGACATCCTTGTCGCAGCGGAACCATGGCCTGCCTAACCCAAAAACCGCAAAACAGCAGTATGCGGAAGGGGTTCTACTCTCCACAGGTGCCTAGGGGGCATGGTCCCGTTGCCGCGTGTGTGCGTGTGTGCGGGTGCGAGCTTGTTTAGTGGCTGCTGAACAGAGGGAGGGTTGTCCCCAAAATTCAACTGACCACACTATCAATCACCTTTGCTTGCTTTGTTCTCCAATCTTCGGAAGTCCAACCCCCATGGTCCATGCGGGATCTAAACATGGTGGCTAGCAGCAGCACCAAGGGGCGGGGTGCGTGGGCGTACGGTGGGGCGATGTTGGTGGGGCAAGGGTGGCTCGATCCCGGGCAGAGCGTCTTTTTGGGTAACGCTGATTGGTCAACACAATGCGAAACAGGTTCGCATCGAGAACCCGGCAACTCTCACGACCGAGATGTGCCGTGTAGATGATGCTCGGTGCTCCATGCGTAAATGCTTACTGTAGACTCTGCTGCGTGAGTCGTTGTTGTTGACCGGACACCCGCCAGAGGGTACTTTGCGGTTACCCGGGTGTCTCGTATTCGTGGGTTCCTTGACGGTTTCTCGCCCAAGCGGAGGGAAGGTCTGGAGAGTGCCTCAGCAACCCCAATCGGAGTGCTTTGGTAGCGTCAGAGTAAGCGACACATGGCAGACGAAGCACCCACCGCCGGGCCGTCGCTAGCCTCCGACAACCCCCCGGCCACTCGGGAGATGACTACGACAGCTGAAGAAGGCCGAAAACGTGCGAGCGGTAGCGTGAGCGGCAATGATGGGGAGCTAAACGACGGCAGCACCACCAATACCGCCAACGATGTTACGCCGAATACAGCCGCAACAGGTGCCGCTTTGGGCGCCGATGATGGGGCGGCTGTTGTTGCTGCTGCTGCTGCTGCTGCTACGAACGGGGGAGAAGCGGGGAATGGAAGGCCGCCTCGAACGCAATCAATCAGGCAGGGTCGGAAAGAGAAACGGAAGGCGGGATGGGCGGCGAAGAAAGCCCGGATCAAGGAGAAGAAGAGGGAAGAGCGAGAACGGAGGTGCGGCGCTGTTTGGAAATGCTACTACCGTGTACACGTTGTAATCCACCCGTACCATGCGGTAGTTTAAATTACACTAGCAGTTAGGTTGCGCCTGTGGCATACAAAAGGTGTGTTTGGATGTCCACTACGCGTTGCCTCTTCCTCCCTCCGTTGGCTGAGGTGTAACCCTTGCCTTGGAAGTATTGAAATGACGGCAAGATGGACGAACACCCAGCACGCTGTGTCGATGCGTGCACTACGCAGAGCCCCAAGCCCCGTGGGCAAACCGCGAACCGCCCCCAGGGATACTGTACTATAAGTTCCTCAATATCTACTACGTACTATTTACCACATTATAAAGTGCAGGTGGGTATCTGAAGTTCAGTTGGGTAGCTGAATCCATCCATGCGCACATGCGCACATGCGCACACTAACAAAACCCACGTATGTTCTTGCCGACGCGCCAAGAGGTCTCTTGATGCGTGTAGACTGCCGCAACACGTGACCGGGGAGGGTCACAAACGGCCAGGGTACAGGGGGGATGATATGCGTACCTATACACGATTCCTGGTTTCGAAGTACAAGCGCCCATCCGTCAACTCTGTAAGGTTGTACATCGCTTTTTTTGGAGGGTGCACCTGCGGTACGACATTGACGTTCTTGCCCTCGATTGTCCGGCTTTGGTTTTTGGGCCGTTCAAGGGAGGAAGCGATGCGCAAAGAGGGACAGGAAATCCCGGTGGCGGGAACGAACTACAAAGACCTCCCTCAAGAACAGTGGTCCGTCAGTCAGCGAATTCGAAACGCGAAGCGGATGGAGTTCGAAACGTTGTCCAAGGAGGGCGGGTACCGCGTGTGCATCGACATGGCGTTCGACGACCTCATGCTGGAGAAGGCGCAAGCTAGCTTAGTGCAGCAGGTGACCAACTTCTCGTGAGTTTGCACTGCCGCAGATCCCTTTGTTTCCCCGCTCCCGTTGTGTGAACCTCCCTCCTGCCCCATGTTCGGCCGGCAATCGTCAAAACTATGAACCCACGGCGGAAGGCCAAAGAGAAAATAATCCCCTCTCTCATTTTTATCTCCCCCCATACAGGGAATAATTTCTTCCGATGAGGCCCGCCCGCGGTATTTTGTTTGAGCATCGCTCTTGACGATTTTTCATCCCGCATCACCGTACCTCAGCAGCAGTGTGTAGCGCGGCTTCGGCGTTTTTTCTGTAGGACGTGCGCTCGAAGGGCGATTCATCCGTCGAGGCGTGAACGTCGCTGGCGGGGATTCTTCCTAACCCGTTGTTGCCAATGGGGGATCGGCATGGCCGGGATCCCCACGTGCTGTCCTTTTTTCGTCTCAGCTCTTGCTCGTATATACCTACAAGCCTTGTCCATCGCGGGTTCAGCGAGGTCTGGAGATAACATCGCGCGTGTGTGCAAGACGTTTTATTTGCGGCCTCCGCCGGGGATACTCCCTCCCCGAGTAGATTACATCAAAGCTCCACATTAACCCATCTGCAACAGCTTCTTGCCCGCATGGTTCAGTTCAAACAAATACCATGGCAAGACCCATACTCTAGGGGGGAGGGGGAACCACAGGGATGGCGACGTTCACGACATTAAGACGGCAGCCTTTCCTGTTTCGTATTTAATCTGCCGCCTTATTCACGCGTTTGATGGATGGATCGAAATCTTTAGGTCCTTTACGCATACGGCACGAATCGGAAGGCTGCTCAGCCGTGTCGTGTGACGTTGAGCGGGATGGGACCGATCATGACCGCGAAGGTGAACAAGCTGCAAGGTTTCGACACGTGGCTTGGGATGACCACTGACTCGCGCTGTTACACCGAGATCTTCGACAAAGGTAGGACACAAGAGCACATGCGTGTAGATTAAACGAAGACACGACGACTTCGGCACCTTTTCCTCACGCCAATTTAGCCAAGTTCGCCGCACCCCGTTCCAATCACGTGCATGCTGATGCCTTTCATCGCCCCGGATGTGTGCCGCCGCAGAGGAGCTGATATACCTTAGCGCCGATTCGCCAGCCACCATCACCCATTTAGAAAAGGGCAAGGTGTACATCGTGGGGGGTCTGGTCGACAGGAACGCGCACAAGGGACTGTGCTACGAGAAAGCCAAGGTAAAGTAGAAACCCCGCAATGTACACCACGTAATTGCACGTCGGCGCCGTCGTGTTCGTCGTTTCAAGAACTCTGCTTTCTTTCCAACGCCGACACACACACGATACACACGCACGGTATGACTTCCACCCACGTCAGTTGCACACGGTTTGGGCGTGTCCAAGTTCAAAAGTCGTCCGCGCCAGGTCGGCAGGCCATACACTTTTGCCGCAACATACCTCAATAGCTCTAAGTCGTAAAGCACACAAGCTATCACCAATGCACGCGTGTTCAAAGAACTGCCGTCCACCGTATCACCGACGCCTGTTAATTTTGCGGGATCGTTCGCCGCATTTCGAGCATTGTTGGCGCAGTTTCCTGGCATCACATGCTCACAGATTCTCGCCCGTGGCTGAGACGCGTGGACAAATGTCCTTAAGAGACATGTGTCTCGCTGTATTCTCATCTATGCCTCATGGTTTTGGGGCAATGACCTGATCTGTGAACTGCTCCGAATTGTTGTAAACGCGTTTTTTTCTGGTCCCTAGCCGTACTGATCATTATCCTGTTCGGCTCGGCTCGTTTTTGCGCTCTCGTTGAATGACTCGTATTTGCAGAAACAAGAGATCGTGACGGGCAGGCTCCCTCTCAAGAAGGAAGACTTGTATGGAGCCCACAGCAAGGTGGGCCAGTGGCAGTTCTGCTTGCAGGCTGTATTCATCGCTGTCCGCACGCCCACCCTGTAACTACTGGTATTTGCGTTGCCGTTGTGTTTTCGTCGTTTTGTGTGTCTGTTTATCATCAGTCTACGTGCCGAAAAGCAATGTGGCGTGCCTGGTGGCCGTGGTAATTGTATGTATTCGGGTGAAAATTACCTTGTGGCAGCTTTGACATTGCTTGGGGAGTTGTGCCTCCCCCTCCCTGATTAATGGACCACCTCTGACAACAGCGCTGCTTCCTTGGGGGATAAGGACTCATACCATACAAGAAGAGGCATCCCTTGTCGGAAAGTGATGTGGCTGAAACACTTGTGTCTCGCTCGCTGATATTATTGAAATTGTGGGGGGGCAATGACACTGACGTTAGATTTGCTGTTTGGATCCCGTTGCTCAGACAAAGCTGACAGCGTCAGGATGTTCTGGGACTCTTTGTTCTTTCTGCCCACAGCAGCCATCATTTGTGATTGTTCGTTGTTTACAGGCCTCCCGGAAACCACTCGTTTGTCGTCATGATCCGTGCCATACGCGATAGGATCCGATAGACTAAGCGCAGAAGACAGGGGACAGAAGTACCGCGCCCCGATTCACGTCTAACGACCATGCTCGTCACGACAGCAAATCCCGGGAATGCGTCGAGGATTTGTCCCCTGAGGACAAACACCGCCTTTGTCCGCGTTCGTCCTCTTTGGTCAGGTCCTAGCAACAAACCACGTGTTCGACATCCTAGTCCGGGCGATGGGAAACGGGGGCGACCTTGAGAAAGTTGAGAAGAAGGCCTTACCTCCCCGCAAGCGTGCGAACTGGACTGGCGGTGATGACCGAGGCCCATCCAGCATGCCTATCCGCAAACAGAAATCGGAGAAACCCGACGAAACATCTGCGGAATCCGACCGCAACAGTCCGGAGTTGGGAGTAGCGGGAAAGGAGGGAGAACGGGCAGCAGGGGCGGACCCTGGTGGTGAGAGTAAGGAGGGGTCGACAACAGCGGGAGATAACAACGAGAAGAGCGGGGAGGGGGGCGAGAAGGTGGACGCGGGAGTTGAAGAGGAGAAGATTGAAACCGGGGTGAAACGGGTGCTAGACGACGGGTGTAGGGAGGAGACATCCTCCTCTGGTCTGGACGCTAAGCGCAGGAATTCGCAGTCCGCAGGTCCAGAGTGAATGCCGGTGACTCGACGGAGGAAGCCAGAGGAGAGTTTAACGGAATAACAGGGGGAGTGGGAGGGGTGAGGAATGGAGACGTTTGGTCTTGCGTGGATGTCAACCGATGCGCGGTTGAGTTGAAGGCGGTGGTTTCGCGAAGCGCAAGAGAGGTGGAATATTCTGGTGCGGAACACACGTCGACTTCAAACCTATCAATGTCGCTTGAGAAGCGGCCATGCAGCAGCAGCAGCAGCAACAGCAGCCATGATGTTTGACGTTGTTTTGGTCCGTTTTCACTGTTGTTGGGGTACTAGCTGGCGTAATAAACTGCCGAATGTAGAGTACGCTGGGGGAAACACAAGGAGCCAGGCTTGGACGAAGAGGAAATAACAAACTTACCCCGTAGGAGGATCTGGATGGAGAATTTTTCAATTTAGCGCATATGGCTTGTGACATGACTCGTGTGAGTCGTTTTCAATTTTAATGCGTCTCTGAAGCATCTCTCCGCCACACTCGGCATGCCGCCATAGTACCCCTTTCGCCGCGCACGCCCACTCCCTGTACAGAAAGCCAGACACCTCAGCACCACCTAGAATTCCATCTTGTTGCGCTTCAAACACACGCCCACGCAAGTACGCGTGCATAGTCGAGTCATTTCGCGGGGAAACCTGTCGCGTGCGGCGTCGCTTCTCTACCGGAAGGAGAAGAAGGACGAGCGTGTCACGCAAGGCAAGGTGGGGTAGAAGTCGCGTAGTTGCATTGTTTTAGGACGCAGGTGAAGTCCTCGTGAAAGTGAGCGGGGGAAACGAGAAAAGTAAGCGGGCGGAAATGAGAGATGAATGTTGGGTGCATTTTGTACGCCAGAAAGATGCGGGAAAACGTTCGCCAGGCGAAACTAGGCGGCCACAAGGCAAGCAGGAGGAAGGTCCCGCGGCACCGGTGGTATGACAATATGTTGTGATGAACGCGTGGCCAAAATGCGGACAACTCTCAAACCCACGATACATCTCTCTGAAAGAAGGTGGTCGTCCTCCTCGTTGAAAAAAGGCTGCTCCGAAGTAAATATTCTGAGAAGACACCGCTTTTGTGTGGGAGCATAAAGTTGCGAGAAAAGTTGGAAACTTTTGTTTTCGACAATAATGGCGCGATCTGGAGAGCAAACCTGTATAATGTTTTCTCGCGAAAAAAATGCCGAAGAAACGTTTCGCGGGGAGGCTTCCGCCAACCCACGTCTATCACTTGCCCTTACCACACACGTAGACCCTCTCCCGCCACACACACGCGCACGACCCACGCCAGAGGTGAACGGCCAAGTCAGAGTACTTGAACGACAAGTTGGAATTGCTTGCGATGGCCGCTGCTGTGTAGAATACATTTGACAATAAACTATGTCTCTAGAGTCTACGCAACAATTTCTGTCAACGTGAATATCATTGACATCCTCCTAGCTTCGATGGAAGGCACAGCGCCAGGTTGTAGACCACCAAATGACCACGCCTCCACCTTCCACCAGCCCCTTCGCCCCCTAGTGGGCGTGCAGGAAAAGTGTTTTTCAACAAGATTCCCGAATAAAAGCATGTGCCAAAAAACTTTAAAATATTATTTTTTCTAGAACTTTAATGGTCGCACAAAAACCGGTGTATAACATCATCGGGAATTGCGCGTACACGGCGATGACATTCATTTTTGTCACGGCTATTGCGCTCCTACTGTTGCGCATACGACCACGTCATACACTCGAGTCGCAGATACAGCGCTAGCTCGCGAATTTCGCGTCTGGTCCTCATGCGGTAGTCAGAAACACTGCGGTTGATCCCTCGCCATATTCGCTGTAACAACCCGAACCATATCAACCGGACCCTACAGAGAACAAATAATAATTCAGGCTACTGTAACGGAGAAATTCCCCTACGCATCACCCTTCGAAGAAACGCCTGCCACTCCGCCTTGCGCTGGGAAAAACATTTCCCGAACGACAGCTGCTTTAACGACTCCAGCAATAGGCCAGTTGAACCCATCCCCGAGCGAAAGGTGTTGGAGGGAAGATGGCCACTCCACGCTGCTGATGGGTTGGTTGAATGAGTCCCCGAACGAAAGCTGCTGCAGGGAAGCCGGCCATACGACTCCGGCAATGGGCCGGTTAAAGAGTTTCCCGAAGGAAAGCTGCCGAAGTGAGGCCGGCCGTACGACATCGGTAATGGGCCAGTTGAACCAATTCCCGAACGACAGCTTCTGCAAGGCAGCCGGCCACACGACCTCGGCGAAAGGGTAGTCGAATGAATCTCCGAATGAAAGCTCCTGCAGGGAAGCTGGCCACACGACCCCGGTGATGGGCTGATTGAACCTTTGCCCGAACGAAAGGTGCTGCAGGGCGGCCGGCCATACGACATCGGCAATGGGCCGGTTGAGCCAATCTCCGAACGAAAGCTGCTCCAAGGCAGGCAGGCAAGCGACGCTGGCAATGTCCTCGTTGAAACACAAACCGAACGGAAGGTGCTGGAGAGATGCCGGCCATGCGACTTCGGCGATAGGTTGGTCAAATCTGCGCCCGAAAGATAGGCGCTGAAGGGAAGATGGCCATACCACTTCGACGATGGGTTGTCCGAACAAATTCCCAAAGGAAAGCTCCCGCAACGAGGTTGGCCATACGACCCGGGTGATGGGCTGATCGAAGAGTCCACTGAATGATATCTTCTGCGACGACATCGGCCAACCGGGACAGGCAATACGCTCGTCGCACCAATGCCCAATCGGAAGCTGTTGCAGGGAGGGCGGACATTTGAACACGGCGATCCGTACGGTGAACCCATCCCCAAACTCAAGTTGTCGCAGAGAAGGCGGCCATACCGTCGATGACAAAAAAGAAGACTCCTCTTGGTCAAACACCGGCCTTGGCTTCGGTCGATCTGGGCACGATCTGCTCTTGAACCTGTCCAGACGCAGCACCTCTAAACACTTCCACTGCCTATCGCCTGCATCCAGAACAAAATCATTCATCCGGCCGTACACCCAAGTCAAACGGAGCGCCAACACGGCCGGCACACGGCTCGAGATGCGAACGTTCGGATCCCACAAGCTTTCCGGCGTCTGATCATCGATACGCAAGTGCCAGGCCGGGACACTTTGGCATGCGCCGCAGAACGCCAAGCACGCAAGTTGAAGCTGCAGCGAGGATTTGTACCAGTACTCCCCCTCCCCTCGGTAAGCTTGGTTCAAGGCGATGGCGATAGCGTCAAGACACAGAGACACGCCTGAAATTCATCGGCGAAACGCGCAGCGAAGGCGGTGAAACAAGACGCAAGTTCAAACAACTACACGGGATCCCTCCGGAGAGGATTTGATAGAGCGTAGTTTCAAGGGGTCGCACAAGATGAAGACATATGCAAGCAGCAGGGTCAGCCGCACAGCTGGCTGGCATCTACCAGTTGCGACATTTCCCAAGCTCAACGGTGCACACAACTAGAGTGTAACACGGTTTCACTGGAAGAGCACAGCCAACCTCAGAACGAAAACGTAAAAATCTTAAGGAAGTCTCACGGATGTAAGTGCTCACAGGCCCGACAAACGATCGAACAATGGGGGAGAAACGATATCTCGGGGCACCCGAAAACAACAAACCGATGAATGGCTGGAGCCCGCCCAGGCCAGAGGTGATTCCATGTCGCATCACTAGAAAAACAACACCACCACGCTCAGCAATGGCATGCAAAGGTGAGTCATGCAGCGGAACAAGGAAGTGCCGTTCCGCATTCCACGCTATCGGATCCTGCTTGTCGTTGGTATCCTTGAGAAGAACAATAGAGCTTGAATACCTACAGCTAGAAGAAATCCATAGGTATCGTCGACGTTCGTCGTTGACTCGTTCCCGATCATCTACAACTCAAGCATCGATGTGTACAACGACTCTGCACCAGGAGTATGATGTGCAACAGCCTTCCAACAGTTCTGCTGAATGCATCGTAAGGCGTCTCGGGGGATGTGTACCACAAGGTTTTCGAACCGTTTCTTGTCGGTCACGAAGAAGGAAGCAAAAAATAATCTGACCCTTCCAGCGTGACTGGGTTGAGCATACCAAACAATTGACAATATTTTGATTGCCTTCCTGCAGCTTCATCGCCCTCCTATGGGGTGGGGGCGCACTTGGGGTGGGGGCGCGTGATTGGAGAAAGAGAGAGCCGAAGAAGGAATATTTCGAAAGTTCGCGACCTACGAGAAAGTGAGAGTGAGAGTAAGAGATAGATCGGCATCAGCCACGGTCGCACCGACAAAGTACACTTGGTACGTATTTTGTCTGATGTAGTACAGATGACGGTGGGACGAGCTGTTGCCATGCTCAGGAGGGACAATTGCTTGCTGATGGACACATGCAGGGGGCAACACGCCCACCACGCAGCAACGTGAGCGTAGTAAAGGACGTCGTTGGCAATGCGGTGAAACTGCAGTGAACAAACGGTCAGGTGGATATACTTATGTCACCCCCAAGATTATCTTGTGTCTTGCGGCCACTAAGGCCTCAGAGTTCGTCCTGTATCTCGCCACCAGGATCATGGCTCTGACAGGCGTCAATCAATCGTGCACCAAAATAACAGCGTGCCAAAAGGAATCACGGGAAGGCGTTCTAACGTATTCTCGAGGCGATTTCTACACTCGAACGTACCTGGATGTGGTGATCGCTCGCCATTGTCGCCACTATCGTTGTCGATGGCACTACCACCGCTGCTGCCGCTGGGAGATTTTCCACCGCTGCCCTTGGACGCCCGTGCAAAGGAGAGGATGGGTGGCAGGCCCCAGCAATACCCACAGTCGCTGGGCGAAGGACCGGAAGGCGAACCTTCCCTCGAAACCGGTGGGTCTGGCGAGGATGTACCCAATACTCTAGAGGACAATCGCGGCCGTTTCACTAGCGCCACCTCCACTATCTCCGTTTCTCGCGTCCTCTGCCTGTGGGCGGGCGAGCTCATCGTCTGGTGCGGCGGGGGGAAATTAAAAAGGGTACTCGTGTCAGCGCGTGTTCCTGAACCGGGCTACCGGTCGGCGGGCACAAGGAAAACGTGGAATAACATGCCCAGGGGACACAAGGAAAACGAGGG